TTTTTTTTTTTTTTTTTTTGCAAGCCTCTGCAGGGATCGCTCCTAAACACTGCCAGTTTTTAGGGGGGTTGAAAGCAGGCCGACCTATTCCCCCGCCCCTTCCCCTCACGTTACTGAATGTCCAGGACAAATTCTGCCCGGCTAATTTTTGTGATCTGTGCAAGCGGTCCGCACGCCGCGGGGGCACAAGGTGCGGGATGTGGAGGAAAGCGAGGAGCCGGCTTGCGGGCTGCTCCCGGGGAGAGAGCCGAGCCGAGCCGAGCCGAGCCGAGCCGAGCCGGCAGCAGCTCCAGTGCTGCTGGGGCTGGAGGCAATTTTAGGGGAACATCGCGTCTGGCAGATCGGGTCTAGCCGGCGGAGGTGGGGTCCTGATTTGGCAGCGGTGGGCAACGGAGGTTTTTCTTCCTCCGAATAGGCATCGCGCAGGAGGAGAAAAATCCCTCCTCCGCCCCAGCACCCTGTAGAGGAGGCTGGCTACTGCCCTGGTCCTAGTAACCCCCTGGGAAAGTGATCGGGTGATTACTCAGGGACGGGGAAAGGAAGCCCTGAAGCCGGCCCCGAACTGCAGCGCGGATCAAAGGGAGGCGCCGGGCCCGGGACGAGCGCCCGCCCGCCCCGCAGCCCCTCGGTAAAGTTAGTTTCACACAGAGGATTGCAAAGAGCGAGCCGCCCCCTCCCCCGCGCCGCTCTCTAAGCACCTCTGGTCACGTTGGAGGATGAGTTTTTTTGGAGAGCTTCTGGTACAATATGGAGCACCACGGGCTGCAATTTCACACTCCGCAGCACATTCCCCCTAAAGCTACTTTCTTTTTTTCCCATCTAAGACCCCTCGTTTCTCCCCCTCTCTCCTTCTCGCGCGCTCTCTTTTGTGACTCATGGGTGGCTTCCATGTCTGGGGCTTCATGGCGACATGCAGGCCAGACTCCTCGGGCAGCCTGGCCCTGGCCCTGGCCGGCGCGGGCGGGGGCACGTCTCCGCTCCGCTCCGCTCTGGCCCTGCCTGCCGCTGAGGCTGCGGCTGCGGCTGGCTTTCCCCTCTGCATTTGTTTGCCCTGAATGGTAATAGCCCACGTGTGCTGCTCTTTATTCAGTAACCGACACTTTAACCTCTCCTCTTTACAAGGGAGCGTTTGCCACAAAAACGAGACAAGCCGGAGACCTTTTACAGCCTCATTGAGGGGGAAAAAAGCCAACAATGTGGAGAGACACTTCTGCAACAAAGCCGCCTCTTAGCGCACCAGGCCGAGCAGAGCTGGAGGCTCAGCCGCCAGCCTCGCGGGCCACGGCCGTGCGGGGATGGGGCAGGCTAGCCCCGGCTGCGTGTGCGTTTCTCTGAGCCTTCACATGTGTGCACACCCAAGCAGAAAGCCCCACTGAGCACAGACACATGTACAGCAGCTCCCCGCGGGGCATGCAGGGCCTGGGCCCACAGCGGCGCCCAGCAAGGCAGACTCAGATTGTCCTGAATGAGTCCACGCCGTGCACTGGGGCTGCGGGCTCACACGCGCGTGTCGTGGGAGGCTCCCAGGCTGCGATCCCGCGTGCAGCAAGCATGAGCACAGCCGCGTGCTTACTGGCGCCGAGTCTCCTGCGCACAGACTGCCAACTTTGCCCGGGTCCAGATAGCCCCAGTCCTGGCTGCACACACGGCAGCGAACACACGTGCGCGGGCAGAGGGCCAGGCGGTAGCACGCGAAGGGGAGGGAACTGGATCTGTTGGGGTAAAAAACCCTTGCCACAAGCTTTCCTATTTACCCTGGTCATGAGGATCACTGAGAGCCCGGGCCCGGCTTGGGGAGGGGTGCGGGGAGAGGGAGCTCCACGGCCCAGCTCAAACTGGGGCCCAGCCTGCCTCTCCCTCCGGTTCAGGTGTGGGGCCCCGGTCCGGCCCGGCTGGGTTTTCCTCTTCCCTGACCTGGCCCTGCGAGAGGGGGGGTCCTCGCTCCCCGGCCGGAGATGCCTTTTTGTTTTGGTCCTCTTCTTCATTCCTCCATAAAACTCTCGACGAGTGAATTAGACGCGCATTAAAAGTCTCCCTTTTCCCAGTAGTAGCGGGACACGCTGCCCTCCGGCCCCCGGCTCCCAGCCCGGGCCGGGCCGGGCCGGCTCAGCTCGGGGCCGTGGCAGATGCCGGGAGCAGCGCCCGCGCGGGACGCAGCC